TCATTCAGGTGTCACTCAAAGCCACTTCCGCAGAGAGGCCCTTTTGTCCCCAGTCTAAAGTGGCCACCTGCAGAGCTCTCCATCATGTCTGCTGTTTGTTCCTTCCTAGTGTGCATCACAATCTGTGACCTCACGTGTACTTGTCAGTTTACTACCGTGTTTCCCCGAAAATAAGACATCCTCTGAAAATAAGACCTAGCGCATGGCAAGATAAGACATCCCCTGGAAAATAAGACCTAGCGCAACTTTGGGAGAAAAAATTAATATAAGACACTATCTTATTTTCGGGGAAACAGGGTATGTATTGTCCATCTTCCCAGGGGCAGGGCTGTCCTGCTCAGGACTGGATCCCCAGGGCCCAACCCAGTGCTCAGCACATAGCAGGTATTCAATGACTATTTGTAAAACAGAGAGTGCATAAAAGCATGCATGGGCGCAGACACCCTGACATACCCCTCCCCCACTCCTCTACCCCTCCCACCCTCCCTCTGCAACCAGACAAGCACAGGGGTGCTCCCTGAACATCCCTGCCCAGACACCCCAACACTAAGAGCTGATGAGACCAGCGGGAGACCCAGGAGGGAGTTCCCTCCTGGATCTGAGGCCTCAAAGCTAGGACAGTGGAAGTGACAGAGTCGGGAGAAAATGAGGAGAAAGAAGGAAAAGAGAGAGGGCGAAGGAGGCCGAAAGGAAAGGAAAGGAGACAGAGCTGGAGGAAGGAGGGAAGAGGCAGACAAGGAGAACGAGTTGGGCTTGGTGCTAATCCTGTGCCTTCTCTTTATTAGCGAAACTAATAATTACTATTAATACCCAGCCCCTCCCCGGCCCTTTCATCCAGGCTGGTGGGGAAGTTTTGAAGATGAAAGTCTGGGGGGCCTCTCAGGTGCAGGTGACAGAGCTGCACAAACAATAATTAGACTTGGCAGCCCCCTCCTCTCACCCCCAACCGCCATGTCCAGGATGCTGTGCCACCTGACTCCACGCCTTTCCAGGTGGGCATGCAGCAGGAGCTGCTCTTGGGCCTGGCCCTCCTGTGAGAGACGCTGGGTAGCTGCCCTTGGAGGGGCGGGGCTGTCAGCAGAGACAGTCCTGGGGGAGGTGCCAGCAAGAGGAACCTCATACCAGGTGGCACTGAAACTAAGGAGCCCTGCCTTCGGCTGAAATTACAGCCCCGTCCCCACGGCTACCCCCACCTCACCCTGGGGGCCTGTGTCTCTGGCCCTGCCAGATGGCAGTGAGGGACATACCACTGGGAAGGAGGATCTAACAGACAAAGAGAAGGAGTCAGCATGTCCATCTCCTCCACGCAGCCCCAAGACCACCCGGGGCCCTGGTCTGCGGCATCCTCAGAGGCTGTTCTGTTCCACCTCTCTCACAGAGGCCTCTCCTCTCCTGCAACAGTGACAGCCACCAGCCAGGCTCCCCCGAACACCTACAGTGATGGGTCCTCGCCACCTCCTGTTCTTTGTTGAGCTGCCTGGACAGTGAGCTGTGTGATCTCATCCAATCCCTTGACATTAAGTACAATCTATAAGCTCCTGAAGTTACATCAGTAGCCCCCATCTTTCCCATGTGCTCCAAATGCCTGCCCCATTTTTCTACTTCGATGTCAATAAGAGGGCCCAAGCTTAATTCCCACCCTCCTCCCAGGTCATGACCCCCCACTTGGGTTCTAGGCCCCATGGTCTATCTATTGCCCAGTCTTAGGACCTGTGATGATCCTGACTCCTGCATCCAATTCACCTGTAAATCCTGTAGATTCTGCTTCTAAAGTGCCTCTCAAATCTCAGTGTTGTCCTCCATCCGCACAGCTGCCATCACGCTCTGAGCCACCGTCATGTCTCGCCTGTGTGACCATCGTCACCTGACTCTCCAAACCACGCCAGTGTGGACTTTGAAATACACAAATCAGAACATGCCATACCCTGCTTAAAGCTTTTCCCTGCCTTCCCATGGCCTGTAGAACATAACTCATGCTCCTCACCAGGGCACACAGAACCCTGGCCTCCCGGATGTCCTCACCTCTTTTCCCCTCTTGTGCCCACACCTCCATGCAGTCCCTCAGGCTCTTCTCAGCCAGCCGCTCCCTCTGCCCCAATGCTGGCTGTTTCTCCAGCCCTTCTCATGGCTGCACCTTCTCACCCTTCTGGGCCCTTCCATAAAGTCCCGTCTTCCCCTCCTCAAAGGGAGCGAGCACACCCCGTAACCTTCTCGGGTCTGCCTGTTTCCTTCATAGCACTTACCGCACCCTGCAATGATAACGTTGTTGGCTGGTTTACTTGTATAACAGCTGGCTGGCCCCCTGCTAGACTGCTCCAATGCCTGTGCTACCCATTGCTTCATCACTCTCCAAAGCCTACCACAGTGCCTGGCACATAGTTGGTGCTCAACCAATGTGTGCTAAGTGAATAAGTGACCCAGGATCTGTTCTTGCCATTGGGGTGACCCAGAGCAGGTCACTCACGACCTGGTCCTGCGGTGTGGCAGAGTGCAGGGAGGCCTGCATCAGCATTCAGGAGACCTCTTAAAAATCTGTGTCCATTTATACTACTGTGAACCAGCTGAGGGACCTGAGGCACATCCCTAACCTTCTCCGGCCTCAGCTTCCTACTCTGGAAACTGTGTGTGTGTGTGGGGGGGGGGGGAAATCTGAGCTCCTTGCGGTGTAATGAGGCACAAAAAGGAGTAATACACCAAGGCCATCCGACAACACAACAGGGTCTCAGGTGCATGTTCTGACTGAAGTGCAGATTTACACACTCTCCAAACCAAAGCCAGTATCCCGTCATTTCCCAGCAGTGTGGAGATCAGGCGCCATCTAGTGGGCACATCGGGGAGTGCAGTCATTCTTTTCCTCTCTTGTCTGTTCCACTTAGGGTGGGACCTGCCCTGATGGTCTTCACTGGGGAGAGCTGGGCCTAGGAGCAGAAAGGCTGCCTAGGAAGGGGGGCGGGGGGGAAGAGACGGGGGAAGGGGCAAGAGGGGAGTGGGTGTGCTTAGCCTCTTGCCCACCATCATAAAATGCTGATCCTGTACCCCCCCCCCCCCCATGGGCCCATCCCCCAACCTTCGAGCTCACCTTCCTCTATTCCCTCCCCTCTGTCACAGAAAACTTCACAAATTATTCTGAATGACCCAAGTTTTCCTTTGACTCAAGAGTTCCCCTCAGGCAGTTTTCTCAGCCTGAGAATTCTCCCCCACCTCTTCTCCCTGTCCTGGCTAAGCCCTACTCCCTCACTGGGCTTCTACTTAAATGACCCCTGGCCAGGCTAGAGCTGCCCTCGGCTCCATAGGCCCCAGCCCTTATCCCACCATTGCTAAGTCTGTGCCACAAGCTCCACATTTCTCGCTCGTGTTCCTGTTAGACAAAGACCTTGGCAGGGGCCCTGAAATGCTCCCCTCCACATACTAAGTGTTGAGAGAGTCTGGGGCCCATTCACTTAGACTGCAGGCCGGTCACAGCCTGTAGAGGACAGACCTTGGGGTAACCAGGAAGAATGCTGGGTGCTCCTTCATCTGCCCCCCACCCCTCCAAGCCCCAGGCCTACTCAGTGCAATTGGTTTCTGACTCCTGGCTGTGTGTCTAGAGCACATGTGTCAAACACAAGGCCCGCGGGCCAAATCCGTCCCGCCAGGCCTTGCAATGTGGCCCGCACTGCGCTGTCATCACTGCACTCCGCTGCGTTTCCATCACAATGACAGTTTATGACTGTTCAGTAAACCATTCGGCCCGCGATTTAGGCTGGATTTTAGATTTTGGCCCCTTCTCTGATTGAGTTCGACACCCCTAGTCTAGAGTGAACTAACTCGCCCCTCTGGACCACAGCTTCTCCTCCCTACTCTCTCCTTGCTCCCTTTTGCAGAACTTCCCTCCAAAGGGAGGAGAGGATGGATCCCACATGTAAATTAAAATGTAGATTGTTGTGCCTGGCTGGCATGGCTCAGTGCTTGAGAATCGACCTGTGAACCAGGAGGTCATGGCTCGATTCCCAGTAAGGGCACATGCCTGGGTTGTGAGCTTGATTTCCCACGTGGGGCAATCAGGAAGCAGCTGATCAATGATTTTCTTTCATCATTAGTGTTTCTATCTCTCTCTTTCCCTTTCCGATCATCTCTGAAATCAATTTCAAAGAAAAGAAAAATCACATGCTCTTCTCTAATGATCTTGTCCCCAAGCCCATCTTAGCCAGTCACTCCTATGGTCAATAAGAATATGTCACATGAGTGGATACACCATGAGAGGTGCCTCTCCAGCGTGGCTCAGTGGTTGAGCATCGACCTCTGAACCAGGAGGACACGGTTCAATTCCCGGTCAGGGCGCATGCCTGGGTTGCAGGCTCGATCCCAGTGGGGAGGGTGCAGGAGGCAGCCCATCAGTGATTCTCTCTCATCGCTGATGTTTCTATCTCTCTCCCTCTCCCTTCTCTGAAATCAATAAAAATATAATTTAAAAAACAACTATGAGAGGTGATTGTAAATACATTTCCTGTACTCACAGTGTTGGCCGTGCGTGGGATGGGGTAGGATGGGGAAAACAGACAGGACAACAGGGAAGTAAGGCCCTGAAGGAAGTGGCTCCACTGTTCCTCCAGCCTGACCTTCCAGCCCTCTCTCCTCACACACAGTACACCCATGCTACAGGCCATGTTTTCATTTCCCTGAACTCTCCAAGTGTCTTCCCCCTTCAGGACCTTTGCATTTATTATTTTTCTGCCTAGGCCATTATTTCCCCCTTCATTTAGCTGATTCCTATTCTGTTTTCAAGTCTTAGTTTAAATGCATTTCAGAGCTTAACACTGAGTAAGTAACCAGTAAAGATATATATACTGATTTTGCCTTCACATCTTCTTTGTTGCTCACATAATAAGGATGTTCCCACACATTCCTATCAGATTTCTATGCCAGTTAGGCACATTCCTGTAAGTAACTCTGGAAGTTATGGCAAAGATTATAATGGCACACTGGGCTTGGATATAATAGCCATCTCTTTGTCCATCAAGTTTCTCCTAACCAGCTGTATCCCATACATCGAACTAAATAGGCCCTCTGTTGGTGTGGAACAGGAGGGAATGGACCTCAGCTACCAAGGTACTTACGTATTCCTCAAATTCATCAGTCAGGTGAGGTTTCACGAATGAAGTTTTTCCTGTCCCACCATCATCAACCAATATAAGTTTGAACTGAACTTGAAACGCTCCGTGGACAGCCATTTGATGTCCCCCCGGCTCCCTGACTCTGGATAACTTATTCTTATTTTGCCCAGTACATAGTCCACCAAACTCTGATTACCTTTTTTTTTTAAATGTATTTTTTATTGATTTCAGAGAGAAAAGAAGAGGGAGGGAGATAGAAACATCAATGATGAGAATCATCGAAGGCTGCCTCCTGCACACGCCCCCTCCTGGGGATGAGCCTGCAACCCAGGCATGTGCCATTGACCAGAATTCAACCTGGTTCCCTTCATTCCGCAGACCAGCTAGGGCTGTTATTTAATTTATTGGAGTAACACTGTTTTTAAATATATATATATTTTGTTGATTTTTCCACAGAGAGGAAGGGAGAGGGATAGAGAGCTAGAAACGTCAATGAGAGAGAAACATCGACCAGCTGCCTCCTGCACACCTCCTACTACTAGGGATGTGCCCACAACCAATATACATGCCCCTGACCGGAATCGAACCTGGGACCTTTCAGTCCGCAGACCGACGCTCTATCCACTGAGCTAAACCGGTTTCGGCAGTAACACTGTTTTATAAAACAAAATAGATTTCAAGTATACAACTCTATAACATTATCTGCATACTGACTGCATCCTGCACTCACCATCCAAAGTCAAGTCTCTTTCTGCCACCATTTATTCCCTCTTTGCCCTCTCCCATCTCCCCCCACGCCCTTTTCCTCTGGCAATCACCAAACGTCTGTCTACAAGGGTTTTTTTTTGTTTGTTTATTTGCTTGTTTTTTGCTTAATCCCTTCATTGCCCGTTTTATTTTTGTTGTTCCCCTCCGCGCCACTGGGTGCGCTGCGCCTCCAGGCTGATCAGGCCTGGGGTCAGAGCGGCGGAAGTCTTCTAGCCGGGGCGGCCGCCATCTTAAGACACAGGCCTGCCTCTCTCCGCAGATGTGGCTGTCTGGTGCAGTCTGAGGCCGCGCGCTGCCCGCTCATCCAACCTCTTACCTCCTCTGGAACTCCCTTAAGTAAACCATCATTTCGAGGGCGAGTCTCTTAATCTCCTTGTGAACGCTAAAGGCGGTGTCTTCCGGGAGGCCTCGCCCGGTGACCTCAGACGTACACTTCCGGGGCGCTCACGTGACCTGTAGCCTCTCCCCCTCCCATCTCTCTTTCCGGTGGCGGAGTCTGGACGAGACACGCAGGTAAGAGGCCTGGGCAGGGACAATCCAGTGGCATCCTGTGGCAAGGGGGTCCCGCGGGGCGTGGGGCGCGGGGCTGGGGACTTTACGCGGAAGCCGGGCCAGGTTTTGGGAGAGAAGAGTGCGGCCGGCCGACCCCAAACCCAGGTTCTCGCCTCGTCTTGGGAAGCGGAGGTCTCGCTTTAGATAAGGAGCCGATGCAGTGGGGGTGCGTGCGGGTCCTGCGTTCAAGGCCTTGTCCCCGCATTGTGACCACTTCTACGTTTAAGCGCCCGCGCGGCGTGGTTGGGAGAGAGCGCGGATTCTAGTCTGATGTGGGCTCCCGCCCTTACCCCGCCAGCTTCTTTCTGGGCGGCCGCAGGCCAGACGTCTCAACTCTAACTTGTTAACTGTCTGAAAAATAGGAGTGATTGCGCTGATCCCACGGGGTTGTAGTGAGGTTTCAAGGAGGGAATGCAGGAAAAATGACCCTGGGATAGGTGTTTCTAAGTCGGGGTGATTGCTAAGTCTGGCACGTTGCAAGTTCTGGGCGCCCAGGGCAAGGCCTCTGAAAGCCAGAAATTGGGGTTAGGCACGCCAGTGAGCACCTGCCGTGCGCCTGTGAACCCTAAAAACATGTTGGGGAAGGGTGGCGACTCAAGTTTTGTCAGGGCCCGAAGGGAGCGGTTGCACTGGGTGTTTTCCACTAAGAAGATACACCTGGGAATCCTGGTTGCCAGAGTGCTCACAGCCGCGGAGGCCCACGCGCGTGCCCCGCGCTTCTCCGAGATTCCTTGCAGGACTTTTGGTCCCGTTCAGAACGTCCACGGAGACCTGGTCTGCACCGAAAGGCTAATGGGCTATTCATTCATTCCTGCATAGGCTACCTCGATAAGGATTAGTGTTGACACTACATCCACAGTGCAGTTGATGGACCAGTAAAAATACGATGGCACTTTTTCATGCATTAATTTGCAAACCAAAAGAATTAATAAATGCTAGGAGCTTTTGGAACCCAGGGACATAATAGCCAGGGGACGGGGGTTCTGTTAACTTGAGGACTCTGATTTTTCTTTCAGAAATGGCACCTCGCAAGGGGAAGGAAAAGAAGGAAGAACAGGTCATCAGCCTCGGACCTCAGGTGGCTGAAGGAGAAAATGTATTTGGTGTCTGCCACATCTTTGCATCCTTCAATGACACCTTTGTCCATGTCACTGATCTTTCTGGCAAGTGAGTACCTGGGAGGAGAGGTGCAGGACCCAACTAATAAATTAGCAAGGGGCTGGGGGAAGACTTGACCCTCGAACTGGGTGGCAGTTTGAAGGGGGTTTCTTTAAAGATTTTTTAAAAGAATGTTCAGATAAGGAAACTTGGTTAGTAATTTCCCAGGCACTGGAGTTAGAAGAGAGGTGATGTTTGGTTTATGGCTTTACAGTGTGGTGATCATTGAATCCTCAGTCTCTGGGGACTTTGTAGAGACAGTGGTGGACTGAGCCCTGGGTACAGGATCTGGCTGCCATTAGCACATTTTTTGGTGATTTGTGAAATCACTCAAATTCCAAGTTTGGTTTCTGTGTATGTAAAATGAGGTTAACAGTGCCCACCTTATAGAGTAATTGGGAGAATGAAGTGCAAAAGTAAGTAAACATCGAGTATTAATAGAGTTTAGCTATTGTGGGACTGTAGACTGCCCATGAGAAAGCCCATCATAGCCTTCCCAAAGCCTAGCATGCATGACCTCCATCCTCTGCTATCCCCAGCTGTGGTGCTCTTGACTCATTAGGACATGACACACTCAGAGTCCTTGTTGGATAAGAAATGACCCTGAGCTTTTTGTCCCCAGGGAAACCATCTGCCGTGTGACTGGTGGGATGAAGGTAAAGGCTGACCGAGACGAGTCCTCTCCATATGCTGCCATGTTGGCTGCCCAGGATGTAGCCCAGAGGTGCAAGGAGCTGGGCATCACCGCTCTTCACATCAAACTCCGGGCCACAGGAGGAAATAGGTAAGGCTGGGGCTGAGAGGTAAGATCACCGGGCTTGGGGTTTGAGGCTTGGTTTTCTTTTGTGACCATGTGTGTGCATAATTAATAATTGGATCCTGTGTACTGTGCACTCCCCCCTCCCAACTTTATTTATGAAGCGCTCACTGCATACCAGATTCTGTGTTCTAGTTATAGAGGAGGGTGATGGGAAAAAGTAAAGATGGTCTCTACCCTCTTGTGTGGCACATCCGCTGTTGCAGTCAGACTTTAAAAAACATGGAAGGGGTGTTTTTTTGTTTGTGGCAAGTGCTGGGAAGCAAAACGGTGTTGGGGATGGGCTGTGGTAAAGTGTAATTTAGGCTAAGACCTGAATGTGCCAGGAGTCAGTCCAGTGAAGAAAAGATGGGATAGTATTCCAGCTGCTAGAAAAGGTCCTAAGATGGGAGTGAACTTGGCACATCTGAGGGATGTGGTGTGAGATGTGATCAGAGAGGTTCTTCTGGGACTAGGAGTGGGGGGATAAATAATGATAATGTCCAATAGGATTGGGTTTGGTTTTTTTTTTTTTTTGTTTGTTTGTTTGTTTTTTAATCACAGAGGAGGGGAGAGGGAGATAGAAACATCAGTGATGAGAGAATCATTGATCGGCTGCCTCCTGTAGGCCTGCCCACTGGGAGTGGAGCCTGCAACCTGGGCATGTGCCTTTGATCGGAATCGACCCCAGACCTTTAGTCTGCAGGCCCATACTCTATCCACTGAGCCAAACCAGCTTAAGGCAGGTTTGGGTTTTTTTTTAAAGATGATTTCTGTGTAGGCAACAGCCAGACAGGAAGTTATTAAACTGGTCCAGTGGAGAGATGATAGTGTCTCGGGTGGGTAGAGTAGCTGGAAATGAACAGATCACTGAAGAAGACAGACTTCGAGTATGTGGCTAAAGGGGGCAGTACTTTAAACAGGCTGCAGGCAGAACAGGGTATAAACTGACCCAGTGGTCAAATCTGGCCTGCCACTTTTTTATATGGTCTATGGACAGAATATTTTTTATGTTTTTGATACTTTTTTTCAGTATGTCACAAACCTGTAAGTGGCCCACTAAGTCTAAAATATTTACTGTCTGGCCCTTCAAGGAAAATTTGCAGGTGTCTGAACTAGAGGGTTATGAGATCTTAGAATCCTGAGTGACTAGATCTTCGTTTCCTAGGACCAAGACTCCTGGACCAGGGGCCCAGTCAGCTCTAAGAGCCCTTGCCCGCTCGGGAATGAAGATCGGACGGATTGGTAAGTGCCCACCTGTAGCTAATGCTTGGATTTACTTTGAAGCATTGACTCCAGAAAGCATATGCTGTGCCCATTGGGTACAGATAGGGCTTGGTATAATGACTGTTGGCAGTTAGGTATGTTAATGCAGAGTGAGAAGTGCTTGTGACAAATCTCTGAACTTCTGACTGACAGTGGCTGGTGGAACTAAGAGGAGAGGGATTATCCTTGTCTTTACATGTTCTCAAGGGGGTGGCTTGGCATTTCGTGTGGGCTGCATCCTGTGTGGTCCTTGCCTACACAGGCAGAAATTTTTATTGTACTTCGCTTTATTATGCTTAACGGATGTGTTTTGTACAAATTAAAGGTTTTTGGCAACCTGCATTAATCAAGTATTTCAGTGCCAACAGTCTCATCTGATGGTTAGCATTTTTTAGCAATAATACAATTTTTAATTGAGGTATATACGTGTTTTTTTTTTAGACAGTGCTGCTGTGCACTTACTGTATAGAGTAAACATGGGGACTGGGAAAGCAAAAAATTTGTGTGACTCACTTTATTGGAGTGG